CGAGAGCGACTGGCGCAGCACCAACTTCCGGCAGAAGCTCGTCAGCCAGATGTGAGTGCGGCCCCGCCGGGCCGCGCGCTCCCTCCCCTGCTGCCCTCGCCGCTTCCGGGCCCTGAAATCTGTATTTACGCTTGTTTATTTAGGTTTTTGATAAGTTTGATATTGCTCTGCTGCTCACGAGAATCGCTGTTTAAAAACAAGCTGCTTCTCATTCTGGTGTGCAGGCAGTGCACAGCTTGACTGCATTATGGTTTTGCTGCCATCATTGGCTTAGCTTTTTCCCAGGTTCTTGCGTTGCTTACTGTGATGTTTCAGAATTAAACCATTACAGCATTCTTGAAAGAAGCACCATAGCATATGTCTGGCAAAGCTTTGCAAGTATATTTGGTGTTCAGAAATGATATTTTGCTTTCTGAAGTGTTTGTAAAGTCATTCGTGAGATGAACCCCTGCTTTTAATTCTTCCCTCAAAACAGTCAAGCAAAAATGCCCTCCAACACTGTATAACTTAATGTTAGAGCCTTGTGTGGGCACAGGCCCACTCTGTTGCTAGACCAGGAATCCAGGGAGCTTCTCAGGTTCCTCTCAGGTTGGCCCGGGCGATGGACATGATGCAGGAGTGTGGTTGGGTTTGCAAGGTGCCCCTTTATGCTGCTCCTTATGGGGAGCAGCCACATCCTAGTGCCTTGGCACCCAGGCCCTTGGGGTTCTTCTGTCCTAACGGCCTTCCCATAATGAACTTTTAAATGTTGGTGTTGCCTGAAGAATGAGCCTGAGATGGATTTTATGATGGTAAAATTGATACATAGACATTTACATTTTCTGCCTCTGACTACTTGCAACCTTTATTAGAAAAGAAGCATGCTGAGTGCAGAAAGAGAATATAACTTACGTAATGATTCTTAGATGTCAAGGTGAGGTTTTTGCTCAAAGTTTTAATGTGTATGTTCTTAAGCTTAAGATGGAGAAGGATTTAGCCCATGATAAATGTAAATAAGGTTAGGAAGTATGTGAAGAAAGTTGAGGTGAAGACTGAGAAGGGGCAAGTAGGAGATAACTGAATCAACTCGAGTGCCTTGAGTGGAAAAAAGTGGAAGATAATTTGCATTACTGCTCCCAATGAAAAAAAAATCACAAAAATTGTTCATAAAGCATCTTCAAGTCTATATTCCAGCCTAGATTCTCTGAGACCTGAGGAAAAACCAAGCTGAGAAAACAGGTATTTCTGCTTCCCTGGATCTATAGAAAGTTAGGAGATTAATATTATAAATGCTTATTTTGACACAGTTATTTGCTAAAGGAGCATCTGCCTTTGCAGTACCTCTTGAGTGCAACTGTTTGGGTTACCATGCAGTGAACTGAAGTTGCTGGTTTTTTTTCGGAGTTAAAAATAACTTGGGAAAAGTGCTTGTTTTTAGCCAGCACTGCCTTTCAGTACTGCTGGCCGCACAGCCACAAATGGTTGTACTGACATAACTTGCAAGGAGAAGCTTCTTAGTTCTACTGGAGAAAATGCTTGTGCAGCTGTGTGTGTGTGTGTGGGGGGGGTGCTGTTTCTCCTTGTACTGTGAAAAGATGTTTATTTCATTGTTTTGCACGATTGGAAAGAGGTTTTTAATCCTTTTATGTAGTTGTGGCTCAGTTCACCTGAACACTTTGAACACTTTTGTTATGGCAGAAAAACTTGTTGAACTGAGTGATCAGGCATCCTATTTCATTTTCATAAGGCAGTGTTTGGTGATGAAGCTTGGGTTTGGCTTAATGTATTGATGGTCATGCAACTCCCTGCCCTTTGGTTTTACTAGAACAACCAACTTAATGCAGTCATGGTGTGAATTGGTTGGGGAAGTGGTATAACTTTGAAGAAGAACATATTTTGCGAGTTTTTCAACTGGGTCAATCGTTCTCAGTGAGAAGTGGCACCTGATTGGGTTAGAAAGAAGCTTTTTAGGAATGGAGGAGAATTTCTGAAGGTGATATTGCATGAAGTGCATATTGTGAAACTGCAACCTTGAGTGTTCTGCATCAACTGCAAAGGTTGATGTGATCTGAAATAAAAGATCGGGGTAGCTATTTTTCGTGTTCTGTAACATCAAAAGGAAATAGAAGATATGTGTGTGTATATATATAAAAAAGAATAAATAATTTCTCTTTATGTGATATTTTTCCCCCAAATATCTGATTTATCACTCACTGTCTCTGTATCATGTCCCTTTAATGCTATTTCCATGTTACTTCCTTTATTTGCCTGTGCATAATCTTTTATTTATCTCCATGTGCTCAGTTCTTGCTGACTTCAGGATGAGAGGCATTATCATTGCAGTGTGCAGCTAGTCCTGCTCCAAGGGATGGATGTGGTAGGAATGCAGGGGAGAAAAGGGTGGCCGTGTTTCAGATGTACTGGAACTTTCAAGGATATGTTTAGTGTGGGCTAGTTGCTTATGCCACAATGGTTACTGAGATGTAAGTTGAAGAGATGTTAATTACAAGGCAAAAGTTATTTTCTGGTAGCCTGTTTATGGAGTTGAAGCTGTAGCTACTAGATTGCATTAAAAAGTAATCAGTTTTGCAGCAAAATGAGATTCTTCAGAGAGTGAGATTGCCCCAGGGATTTGAATAGGGATATTCTCCTGACTGAAATCTTGCTTCAGGCAGAACATATTGAACTTTGCATATTTCATTGTGGAATTATCTCTTTTTCATGTATTGAAAATGGCACTTCTCTCCCTTCATGAACTTAGCAGTATAGTTTTGGGCAGTGTTCTTTTGTTCTCACATATTTCTCATCCAGAAGACAGAACTAGGTCCAGTTTACAAGAGATGTGTTGGATAAAGGGCAGTAGGCCCCTATTCTAGCTGGTAAATGGGAAAGAAGAGTAAGGGATTTGAAAGCTGACGTTTGGTTGAAGTAATACTTTAGATAGCAAAGTAATGTCTTGCCAGTAATTCTTGAACATTTGCAGAGAATTTTTGTGTTGCCTTTTATAAATGAATTGGGTTCTTATCAATTTGAAGAAAATTTTAAAGGGCAACAGTTGTAAGTAATGTATGAGGATTTTGTTTGTTTGTTTGTCTGTATAGGGGTCTATCCAAAAGAAAGGCATAAATAGCTGTTACACAGACCTTTTCAACTACAGAAGCTGTTTTCTGATGTCCTCAATCTCATCCTTATTTTTTCTGTTGCTTTTCAGTGATGAAGCTATGAGGAAGGCTGGTGTTGCCCACAATAAATCCAGCAAAGATATGGAGAGTCATGTTTTTATGAAGGCCAAAACAAGGGTAAAGCATCTCTCTATTTCCACAAGTTACTGGGATGGCAAAGAAGTTGGGAACAGCCCACAGCAACAGCAAACCAATGCACATAGTTTACTATCAGTCTTTGCTTAGAGTACCTTCTTATGCAAGATTTAGGATTTAGTGTGATCCTTTTTGCCTTAGGGTTTTTCCTGCCATATGGGCAGTATCGAGTTATATCGAGTTAGGGAGCTAGACTTCAGGTTAAGACTAACATTGGCTAACACTGTAGCATTTAAGGTGTATATGGGACTGTGCTTAATTAAGCCTTATCTAAAGACTAGCATGTAATGAACTATACAGAATCTACAGTGTAGCTCTATTCTGTGCACAGTGTGGTGATTGGGAGAGACTAAGTTATCAATAAAAAGGTTGTCTTAGGAGTAAGACCAAGGGAAGTGCTGAGATCTCTGTGGAAGCCTGGTTATGGTTTTGTAAAATTCTAGATCCTACTCAGATGTAAACTTCTTTCCTGGAGATTTCTTATAAGGAAATTGCAAAAACATTAAGAACAATACCACAAAAATCTATAACACAACTCACACAAGAAGCTTGAAATTGGGTACTATTGCTGTCTCCAAACATCTCTTTGAGATAAAACTTACCTTGGTGAGAGTTTTACTATGTTTTGTCAGAAATTTATGCCTACTGATGGTATCCTTGTTGGCTGAGTTAGAAGTTTCATGTGTGGGTATAACCTCTCAGTCTTCTGGCATTTTCTGTTATGCACTATGAGGCATGCTAATAAAATGATACAAAGAATACTTGTCATTTCTTTTCTGGCATTTCTGCAAGGATAATTGGACAACTATATTCTTTAGAGATGGTGACTTTGTAATTTCTGTAATGCTAACTTGGCTTAAAAAAGGGGTTTGCCATACGAATGTGACTTAATTCGATGCCAGATTAAAATAAGCCAATGTACTAAATAAGAAGGTTCAGTCCTTGAGCAAAAAGAACTAGAAGGGCTAAAAAATGAAAAGTGGATGCCTTCTTCTGTAATTGGATACACATATTGTGGCACTATTAGTATGGGTGTCACAGAGGTTGCCTGTTCTTTGCTATGAATTTGTGAACTCCTGCCATTCCTGTGCTATCAAACGCAACGACTTTCTGGTGAAAATATTCCCTCTCAGTACATGGACAGTCTGTTCTTTGCGAGTGAGCTCCTTTGAAAAGCTTGCTGGCCCTGTAAAGGAAAATCTGTTACATTGAAGGGGTGGAAGAAGAGGGAAGGAATGAAAGTCATGGTGGTTTTGTTTCCCATGTTAAAATACTCACCTTTACCTTTACCTTTAGGAGGAGTATCTTTCCCTTGTGGCCAGACTGATTATCCATTTTCGAGACATTCGTAAGTAACTGCTTTTCTTTTTTCTTCCCCACCACTAGCAGGATTGCTCATAAGGAGAGAGGGGGAAAAATAGGCTTTGTAGCTGTTGTTCTGAGTGTGACTGCTTGTGAGTTGCTTTAACAATTTCCTCTGTAATGTACATGCTCAATTCCTAAATATTATTTCCTTTGCAATGTATGTCTGTAAGTTAAGTTTTTCAGAAATTTGAATTTACTACTCTTTTGCTTGATCAGTTTTTCTTTTTCCTGAATATTTCTTTTATTTTCATTGTTTACATAGCATTTTGGTTACCAGACCAGTTTAGCTTAATGCATCTTGTTCTGCTTGCTCAGTCCTCAAACTATATCTGATAAGAGAGATGAAAATACCTCTCTACCATTATGCTCATTATAGCTGTGATACAGCGGTCTAGGACAATGGGTCTGGTAAACTGTATAGAGATGAGTAGAACTACAGAAGATAGTGATTATTTATACTGTGAATATATTTCTTGTGGAGAGTGTTTCTAAAGTGCCAAATTTGCTTGTGACAAGATGAACAAAGTCCTTTTCTTTCTTTCTTTCTTTCTTTTCTCCTTTGCAGACAATAAGAAATCTCAGGCTTCGGTCAGTGGTAAGAGTTTTTTTTTTTTCCTTCTTCTTCTTCCCCTCTTTCTTCTTTCCTCCCATTCCTCTCCTCTTCCTTCCACCTTCTCTCCCTTACCTCCCATTGGAGAAAAGGAAAGGTAACACGATGGTCTAACGGATTGTTCAGTGGTGAGGGTGACAAGCCTGACCGGTGTCTTCAGTGTAACAGTGTTTTCAGGATAACTGCTTTGTTTCTTTTTATTTTATTTATTTTTTTACCACAGCAAAGAGCAACAGGGGCTGAAAACAATCTACTGCTTGGTAGTCCCTATTTCTCCTGGCCATCTTTGGATTCCTCAATCTTTTGCAATAGAAATGAACTTTGTTTTTTGGTTTTGTTTTGTGAGGTATGTGCACTGTCATTTGGCTGAGGTTAGATTTGCATTATGTCCTCTGCCGCTGTTATAACTCTTACAGCGTTATATATTAGGGACATAATATAATCCACCACTTTTATCCCTCTGTAGATTGCATGAAGTGTCTAGGATTCATTAGCATCCAACCTAGGCAATTAGGAATTATTTGATGAGTATCCTGAAGGGAGATTTGTGCTCTAAGCATGATGAATAAAACAAATACTGCTTTTACACACCACACTGTGTTTTGCCCTTCTGAATTTCTGTTTCCTATTTGACTTCACTTTTGTGTGCTCAGGTTGTGACAGTTCTCCTGATTGAAAGACACTGAATTTATCTGTTCCATGAAAATGTGATGTTATGGCTAGGGGAGCTATATTACAAGGTCAAGGTGCTTCCTCTGGTCTGAGCATTGCTTCTCCATGTTGTCCTTGGGAGGCGGAGGCCAAAATGGATCTGCAGCAGGACTCTATTGATTTTTGAAATTACAAGCTGTAATTCCTTACTGAGTTTTGTTGGCCCCATGTGTTGTATATCCAGAGATCCCTAATTAATTCCTTTGCTATATTTAGAATTTCTAATAAGAAATTTTATAAAACTGAAGCACTTTAAATAATCTCTAGTCTTTTTATAGAGAGGCAAGGATCTCCCAGCAGTTTCTTGTGGTCTCACTGGCAGAGCAGTGAGTTTTAGGTGCTCAGGGGTTGGATCTAGTTATGGTCTGAATCTTGTATTCATGGATATCAGAGAATGGAAAATTTGAGGGAGGAAATTTCACATCTGTCTACATATTAGTAACTCTGCTGCTTTCCCTGTAGATCCTATGAATGCCCTGCAGAATCTAACAGGGGGTCCCCCAGCAGGGGCACCTGGGATGGGCATGGCTTCACGAGCTCAGGGGGCACCCATGAGTGGGATGGGTGCCCTCGGCCCAATGGGACAGCAGATGAGTCTCCCTGGGCAACAGCAGCCTCCTGGGACCTCTGGGATGCCCCCTCATGGGATGCCTGGTGTCTCTACAGCTACTCAGCAGAGTAAGTATTCATTTAACTTCAGTCACTGAAATTGTTAGACTGGCCTTTTGGTGAGTTTCTCTATTTAATAGTTCTGGACTAATCATCTGGAAGAAGTACACGGAGGAGAACCAGTTTAAAATATTATACTTTGTGGGATAAATGTTTCCCCTTGTATAGGAAGGAACAAACTTTATTTGAGCTGTTGCATGAGCAAATGTCTCCTCCATCCTCCCAGATGTCAATTTTAGGACCTTACTGCTTCTGTGGAGTGCACCTATGTTTACTGTGGCTGTTGTGTTTTCTGCTGGTTGCTTCTGTGAATGTTGTCTCTAAGATTCTCTTTCTCAGAGACTTCTGTGTGGAAAGATGTGTTTTCATGGTTGGCCCTTCAAATGGCCACTGAGTCACACGTTTTTTTTTCCTGCACTTTTGTACACTCTGTACTTAGGTTGCTGCTTCAGTGTAGTTGGTGAGATGTATAGGTATTTAATTGGATGTGCCATTAATTCTGCTGTTAGTATTTTTCTTCCACCTGAGGATGCAAAAGTATATGGTGCTAACCAAGAGCATTCATGTACTTGAAAGTTTATCTTATTGTGAAGTCATACTGGGTAGTATCTCTTACCATGTTTTGGGTTTCACTTTCTAAGTACATTCAACCTTCTTTTTAGCCCAGCTTCAGCTTCAGCAGATTGCTCAGCAGCAACAGCAGCAGCAGCAACAGTTCCAGCAGCAGCAGGTGGCTTTGCAGCAGCAGCAGTTCCAGGCCCAGCAATCAGCCATGCAGCAGCAGTTTCAGGTGCAGCAGCAGCAGGCAGCAGCGGCTGCAGCAGCCCAGCAACAGCAGCAGCAACAGCAGCAGTTGCAAGCTGTCCAGCAGCAGCAACAGCACATGCTGAAACTACAGATGCAGCAGCAGCAAAACCAGCAGCAGGTAGTGGCAAACAAAACAATTGCAGTGGCAGTTAAGGTGATCTGTGATTAGCTACTTTTGCAGTGATGCTCTTCTGTCTGGAGCTTAGGCTTGCATGGCGGTCCTGAGTATTAGCTCTGCTTGGTCCCAACACATTTCTGTTTTGGGGTAGGGGTTCAGTTTAGACTGGCTGTTTAGTTGGCAACGGTGAATTGCATAGTAGAGCAAGGGCCTAATACTCTATAATTATTTGATCACATATTATAGTAACAGAGAATTAAAGTCTTCCTTTTTTTAAACAGGAGAGAGTTCCATTGCAATACTTCAGTTCTTCTAGAAATCCGTGGCTGTTTTGTCACTGAGCAAATTGCCACTTTAAAAAATGTGTGCCAGGAACATTATATGTTCATCATCCTTGATGAACAGGCACAAAGGCAGTGTAAGAATCTTCAGTTCTTATGTTCTTGCACAGTTCTGGTGAATGGTTGGTTATAGCTGAAGAAGTGTTTCTGAGCCCATTTGTAAGGGAGAAGCTGGTGGACTTCATCTTTGCCTTTTAAAATCGTTTTAGTAGTAAGAATAGTTTCTCACAATGAGAGTAAAATTACAGGATATATACTAGGTAGAAGTGATATATGAAGAGTGAGTGTTTAAAATGGTTGAGTTTTCAGTTGGGCTTGAATGTTCCTCGTGATGCATTAGCCTTCTATTTGCTCTGTAAAAATAAGGCTGCTGTAACACTCCTGGAATCTTTAGCATCCTTGTTCTTCCTGCTTTTCAGATGCAGCAGCAGCAACAGCAGCAGCAGCAACTCCAGCGAATTGCTCAAATGCAGCAGCTGCAGGCAGCACAGGCTATGCAAGCACAACAGCAGCACACGCGAAGCAGCAGCAGCAGCAACAAATACCACAGCAACAGATACAGCAGCAGCCACAAGTAATGCAGCAGCAAATGCAACAGATGCAACAGCAACAGCAGCAGCAGCAACAACAACAGGTTGCTCAGGCACAACAGTCTCAGCTTCCACCACAATCCCAGCCTCAACCCCAGCCCATGGTGTCCCAAGCACAGGCAATCTCAGGACAAATTCCTGGTCAGGTTATGCCTGTCACTCTCACACCACAACAGTTAAAAGCAATGCAGGTAAGCGCTAGTGACCAGCTGACTCTTGGTTCATTGTGATTCTTTAGAGAAATCTTCTTGACCTCTGCTAATAATGGAACAGGAAATACTAGCTTATTAAAAGATCTGTTAGCCTGTTAGGAGTATGGTGACATTAAATATTCATTTTTGGGCCTGGCTTCAGTTCTTTTTTTTAAGAATGTGGTTAATTTAATGAAACAAGAGGATCTTACTGTATTTGCTTACACATGTTACTTTTACACTCAAGGTAAGAGCTCAGCTGGTCCAGCAGCAGCAGGCAGCAGCAGTGCAAGCAGCTCAGGCCCAAGCTGCTCAGATGGGAGCTGCAGGACAGGTAAGGGCCCTGGAGCCAGTATCACTAGCACAGACCTATAGTAAGTGCATGCTAAGGAGAGCATGGAGCTGGGGTTCGAGTGGCTTTCTGATGAGGGGTCTGACACTGGTCATCCCTTTATCAAGGGGATGTGGGTTTTATGCTGTTTCTCCTTTGCCTGGAGTCAGAGGCAGGATTTCATTGACAACCTCTCTCTGCATGTTCTCTATCCTGAGTAGGTAAGATTGCTGCCCACAGTGGCACAGGAGTGCAATCAGTAAGATGGCCTACTATGGTCATGCTACAAGTTTGACTGATGGTTCCTGGAGTATATTACCTTTACTCTTGTTACTCTTTTAGACTACGCTTTTGTTGTGTGAACTGATTCTGTGCTGTGAATCTTTACCTGCTGGTCTTAATTCACATATGGTATACCTTCCCTCTCCACTTACCAAGCACAAAATGTTGTATAGATAATGAAATCCCTCTGTACTTCCCTTTCATTCCTTTCATCTTTCATTCCTTTTCTTTTTCTGAGTGAACTGGGTCATAGATGTAGTTTGCCCTTGTTGTGAATGTGAATTGCCAAGGAAAAAAATGACATGTGTTGCAAGTTACATTAAAAAAAAAAAAAAGAAAAAAAAAAGTTCTGGATGAAACATGGCTGCCAAACAGTTTTCTTTATCTACAATACACTTGTATCCCCAGTGATTGTTCTTTGATGCATGTCTGTTATGAAGGAGATCTGGGGAAAAGTTAGTGTTTGTTTGACCTGAATCCCTCATCCTGTTTTCCACAAGAATATGGAAGTCTTTGCTTTACCTCTATAGTGTTTCATGTTGAGGTATTTTACAGACATGGGTAAGTACAATTGTTGCCACTTTGTAGATGAAGAGACTCAGGAAGAGAGATGTAATGAGGTTGACTAGGATCGATGCAAAGTTGTGTCTGTATCCCCAGGCACTTCACATACTGCACCATTTTGTCCCTCAGTAGAGAAGTAATGGTCTAGATTCAATAAGACCCTTTGACAGCAGAGAGTCTTATTGAACGAGGGTAAATGATAACAACTAGTTCCAGACTTACGTCAGGAATAGTGTCTTGTACCCTCTCAACTTTATATGGCCCACATTTTTGCTGGAGAGAGTTCTTTTTCTGTATTGATTCTTTTACTTGTGTTGACATAGCACAGAATGCTAAAGCTGAGCAGTGGTAAGTACAGTTCATACAGTACTGGCAACAATACAGAAATCACTTCCTACAGTTGAAATGTAAATTAAACCTTTATTTCATGGATAATTTTCACTTGAGACCTGTAGGGGCTTAGTGTGTCTAAAAGGAGACTGATTTTTTTTTTCCATTTTTTCTGTTTTACTAACTTAATACTGCTTTTTTCAACTCCTAAGCAGATGGATGGTACTTATATGTACAGGCAACTTAATTCTTGTCCTGCTTAGTGAATTCATATGCCAGTGGCTTAATACCACAGCGCATTTGAAAAATTTCTGGTGAAACAATGGTTGGTTGTCACCTGGTTTTGCATTGCAGCTTTAAGTCATGCCTACTAAACTCAGGGATTGCTCATTGTCTATCACAGATGTAATTTTCTAAACTGCCTAGATAAGCTTGTTCCATTTTTTTTGTAATGCTGTTAAAGTACAAGTCTACTAAAATTCACTTAATACTGCTCAAGTCCGATAATTAAACTGGTTTCTTATACTTTGTATAACAATTTTCTGTTTAGTTTTAAGAACACAGCTCTAGAATATGATAATGCAGCTTTAGTCTTGAGAGGATGGTTGGATTGGTTTTGATTTTTATACGTTTCTTTTGATACTAGATTCTGCTCCTGTCTTTAGTCTATTTTCCACTGTCGCTAGAATTAATAAATCTATCTTGATTTCTTTTTGATTCTGGGAAACTTTTATTTTAAGCAAACTCTGTCCCTGTATTTGCTTGTTACAGTTGAGCTTGGTTTCTGTGGGCTTTCAAGGTGGGAATTTGCGTTGATATGCCTGCCTTTTCCCTTTTTCATCAAGCTTCTGTTCAGCATTTCTAGGTAAAAACAAAATTAATCCCAAGCTCAAACATGGATCCATGTGAATTTGAAGTTCTTCTCTGAAGTTGTCCTAATGACACTGTCCAGGTGAATGTTATGCTGCTTGGGTATCTAGTCCTTAAGAGCATTAACTCACAAGTAAAGCAGATAAATAAGGAAAGCAGTGTCCTAGTGACCACAGAGTGCTACAAAAGTGCTTGGAGCATCAAGAGAAAACCTGTGATCAAATGGATTGAAGTATGAACAAAGCTTAAATCATGATTCTGGTGCAATTTGTTCAGGTGCACCGAATATAGGCTAGCTATTGCTCTTTGAAAATTGGACCTGACCTGCCTTTAATGGAGCAGCATATTTAAGGAATTCTGAATCCTTGGATTTTAGATGGATCAAAATTACAGGTTCACAGTTCTGGTTGCTATATTCCTTTTTTTTCCCCTTAATCAAATAATGAGGTTCATATCTTACGGTGAAGGAAGACTTTCCCTTCCTCTGCTTCCTCTCTGTTCTTTGAGTATTCTTGTTTCTTTAAATTGGATTATCTCTATTTCAGTTATGAAGGGTTTACCTTCAGTTATTTTACTTATTTTTGAGAAGTCCATGAACATTTGTGGTTGATTCCTAGTTCCTAGACTATCTGTCAAGAACAACTCTTTCATAGACACATTCTTCCCCGTAAAGCAGGTGCAATCCTTGGAACCCTCTTTCCTCACTCCTTCATTAAAAGGTCACAGGTTTTGTAATATGAGTGCCAACTTTTGAAGAGCTGGAAGAATGGGGGAAAATTAGATTCCTTTTGCTATAAGCTGGTTTCACTTTGAATATACACTTCATTTCCAAAGCACATTTATTTCAAAATACAAAAACAAAATCCAAATTGTGCATGCACACGTGACCAACAACCTGCAGTACAAGAAACAGCTGAAAGCCCTTGAATCGGAGTTTGTCCTTCTGGTGCTCCATGGTTTGCCAGACACTTACAGTGTGAATAACTTCCTTGACCTCAGAGGAAATAACCTAAATCTGCACGTTTTGGTGGTGTGGCACGAGAAACAAGACCAAGATGGGACACGTGGGTCACCATAACATCCCTGGGTTTTTCATGCACTCCAAAGATCCATGTGCATTCACGAGGGTCTCTGATGGGGTGATTGTGCCTGGAAGGATGGTTTTGCCAACATTTTTTTTTATTATTATTATCATTTTCGTTAGGGTTGTGTTGCTTCACCAGCTCTCATGTTGATACTGTAGCTCTTCACTTCACTTTGTAGCTGACACCTGTGCTTTGTGGCAGTGCTGGGTTGTTGCGTTTGCCTGTGGTGGCTGTTGCATGCTGTGTGTGCACATGTGCATGTGTGTGTGATCTCTGAAGCTCCCATTTGTTTCCTTTTTGAAATCCTGTCTCTGAACATCCCTCCCTGCCTCGATGGAAAGGGACTGCATCGCTCTGATGTTGTGAACTAACAGCTGTGCTGAATTTGACACTATTTTCTTTATCAGTTATTGCTTTCCTTTTCAGTCTTGCTATGTTGTATTTAATTTTATTTATTTTTAACAATCGTAAGCACATGCATTCTCTTGACTCTCTAGAGACATGTTGCTGGCTGCTTCAGTCCATTTACACAGAACACAAAGCAAGAGTGCCCCAAATCCTTCCCTGAAAAGAGATTTCTTTTAACTCCTAAGTTAACTCTTAGGTTAGTCAGAGCCTGCTGAGTTCCTTAGTAATATATAAACTGGGGGAAAAAAAATGGCCTGGAAGATTTTATTGCAAAATTATGAAGTACTGAGTAGGTTTTACTGATAGGATAATTGTCAAAATTAAACGAATCCTACGTCAAAACATGCCAAACTTCCTGTAAATTTATATTACATTTTGATTCATAATATATCTGGTGTAATACTGAATTTTAAGTAACATGAGTCTATGCAGGTGTATCTATTTAATTCTATAAGAAGATGCAGACTAAAGGTTGTGAAAGGCACTTCTAGATACTGCAGAGTAGCTTAGGCCTGGTACTATTAAAACATGAACCCATTCTAACACTAATCTTCAGCATCTGTCCAAATGATGATTGTACTTCTGGAACTCCTCAGTCATTACAGCTGTAGAATCAAACAGTGCATGAATAAATTTGAGGCAGATTATAAAGTCAGAACAGAAACTTTTTATACAGCTTAGTAAAAGAAGAATAAATATATGACAAAGGTGACAGATATTACAGGGATATATTTGACCCATTCATAGGTTGCAAAAGGAAGGAAATAGATTTTTTTGTTGTTTTTTTTGTTTGTTTGGCATAGGTTGCAAAAGGAAGGAAATAGGTTTTTTTGTTGTTTTGTTTCATTTTTTCCAAACTCAGAAGTCCTTTCTGTTGTAGTGATGGAATCTTCCTCTGTGGCATCTTCCTCTGTTACGCTGTCAGAGGTCAGTTTGTTCTAAACTTCTGCTCACTGTTGTAGGACTCATTGGAGCATTTGTGGTGACAGTGCTGTTGAACTGTCTGCCAAATTATTTTAAATGGCATATGCAAATATTGCCAAATCCTTTGAGTACACAGTGGGGGAAAGCGTAAAAGAAGAAGAAACATAGGACGTTAAGGAGGAGGCTCCTTATATGGAGCATTCGTGACAGTAGTCTTAGAGCACTACAGGAATTCCAGAAATAAGGCAAAATGTCAGGCAAAATTTTAGGAATAATTCAAGAAAATGACAGCACTGTTTGCCCTTGACCCACAAGTCTGTATCTAAATCTCACCTCTCAAGATATCTAGAATTCATTAGATGCTCTCTACAGATGAATAGAAAGTGAATAAGAGACTGATTTGTAAACTAGCATGTTAACGTTTAGAGAAGAACTCACTAACCTTCCCTCTGTGCTCCCCCTCGCCCTAATTCCTGGAGGTTGCATGTGCTTTTCATCCTGCCAGTGCACTGCATTTCTTGTTTTGCGATTACTTTTGTCTGTTGTCCCTCTGTCCTCAAAGATGATCACCGCACCTATGGCCCGAGGTGGGATGCAAATAAGACCACGGTTCCCGCCTACCACCGCTGTGTCTGCCACGCCGCCAAGCTCCATTCCTATGGGCGGACAGCAAATGCCACAGGTATTTACTGAGTCAAAGTGCACGTTGGGGCAGGAATTGCACAGAGCAGTCAATACGTGGTTGTGTAGCACTTGCTTTCAAGCAAGGGGAAGTTCACTTCGTCACACATCTGGCTTGCTGCAGTTGCTCAGGTTATTGCGCTATCTATTTTTTTCCATGGACTTGTCTCTTCTTTTTCTTAAAGAGGAGATTTTCTGAGTGCTTGGGATATCAAGTAAGACGTTTCTAAAGTGGCACAGATCTTTGTACTTTAACACATCACTTCCATGTTCATACTTGATTCAGGTCTCAAATGAGTACAATTTTCTAGTCTCCAATTAATCTCTGTCCATACTCCTCAACCAGTGCACATCTAGGAGAGTCTGCAGAAGTGTTGCAAGTCAGGACTGCAACGTCCTGCCTGAGGTGTGTCTGGGGCCTTGTATATCATGTGCTTACACTCTGTGTAGGTGTTTCTTTTGTGAATAATAAACTTGGCTCATTTGAGTTTGTGTAGCTTTTGGGCACGTAATCAGGAATCAATAAATACAGAGCTCTTCCCACTTGTGAAGGAGGAGCTGCCACACGGACTCAGTTTGCACCCGCGTCAGTGAAGAAACACGGGCCGGGCTGGCAGCGCTGGGCCCAACGCTGCTGAAGATGCGTTAGGTCCCGGTACCACCTCTGCGTTCGCAGCTCAGGACCTGCCCTGCTGCTGCTGCCCACAGCTGGGCTTCCACCTGCAAAATTCATCGTTCTGGGGGAGCAGGGATGGAGAGATCTAGAGTGAAGCAAAATTGAATTCTCACTAGTTAGCCACAAAACTAGGTGCTGCTCTGCCCTTCCGTAGTTCATAGGACACATAGGACTCTACTCAGTCCAATGTAATTGCTGCTGATTTAAATATGGTTCAGGTTAGGGTGGCCAAGTGGAATTTATCTGCATTGTTCTGTCTAGTATTTACAGACCTCATATCTTATTCTTCTAAACAACAGCTTTTAAAATTGATACCAGATGTGGTTTTTATTCTTTGTATTGATGTTCGTGGATTTCAGGAAGATTTCTTCATTCTTCACTCTTTTGCTTCTATTGCCAGCTTACCAGGGGCTGCAGAATGTCAGAAACACTGTTTCTTAGTGTTGCTCTTGCATCAAGTTTATTAGGCTCAGCGTTTTCCTGACAGGGGTTTATTAATGCAGATACAGTGACCAGAAGGATTCTGCAGGTCTAGGCAAACTCATCCATGGTTGTTCCTAAGACACATAGTTGTTTAAATGTTAACTGAAATAAAACCCAGCCATAGCTGCTTATTCAGTCAAAGGAGAATTTACTTTGAGCTTTACTTGCTGTAGCAGTTTATATGCCCTGAGACAGTCCTCCTCTGATAGCAATGTAAGTATTAGATTAATTTATATGTAAATACTGGAGACATATCAGGAGGCCTCTAGTTTAATCTGTCAGTGCTGTATGCTGATCTTTTAGTGCCATCATGTTAGTGGCCTTTGAGGAGCTTTGACTCCTGACACTGAATGAATTGGTAAATAAGAAGTGCCAAAGACTGACCTGGAATATTGAACAAGTAGAGAAAGCAGAAGAATAAAGAAAATTTATTTATAAAAAATGACTATCATGAAAGTAGTGATAGGATGAGAGATTCATGGCGTAGTGGTGGCGAGAAGCATGATTCTCAAGTCAACTGAGCCAGTCTAAGATTTTATGTAACTGATAGCTTAGGATCAGGCTGAATCTTTAATGTTAGTTTCCAAAATATTTTACTCAGGTTGCAAATGGCTGTGTACTTCACTTCTTGTCCTAGGAAGGTTGTAAGTTATGTTGTTTCTGATTTTGTAAAATGCTTAAATGATACTGTCTGTTGGATATGTTGTCTTTGCCTTGCGGCAGAGCTCTTGCAGCAGGTCCTAGATGAATAAAGGGCTGTAGGCTAAATCTGATTAATATTGACTAAAGAGGTTATCTCCTTGAATACAGTATCAGAAAGAGTCATTTACAGCTAGTGATAGGTAGTCCTGAATGTTTTCATTTCAGGAAAGAATCTTGGAGTTGTGCTTAATTTTTTTCAGTGCAAGAGCTCAAGGTTTTTTCCCATATGACCCAAATGCCATGTCTGTCCCTCTTATCACAGGCTCAGGTACTCTGCAGTGTGGGGGAGTTGTTTGTTTGTTTGTTTTCCTTTTTCTTCTCTCTCTCTCTTTTTAAGATCTTTTCTCAGCACTGTGACTGAATAGCTATCAAGCATGAACTGAAAATTTTGAATCTTAGCTGCATTTCTTGAATAGCTAGGAAAAATGGCAATCACCATGTTAGGATTGACTCAACACACCCCCCACTCAGGAATTTTGAATCGTTATCATTTTACTAAAGCAAAAAAACAATGCACAAATCCTCATCTTTCTCCTGAATTCCTAATATGAAACTTCCTGAATACTCTGTATACATCCACAGTCTGCAATAGCAAGGACTTCCAGTTTGCAGTTATGCATTGTTCATGCAGAAATCTCCAGCAAATAAAATACAGAAAAAAAGTAAACTGAACGAAATACTAAAATAAAGCAAGGGGCAGTGGCCTGACTGGGAATATGGAGCCCTTTGTCCGAATTCGTTTGAAGTTCTATAGAGTTTTCACTGTCTTGCAAGGCAGCTTGATGGTGAACTTTAAACCCAGTTTGCAACAGATTGCAACAGGCCAGGGCTGCCCTTGCTGGCTTATCTTTAAAACTGTGCATACAGTGTAAATGGAGTTTTCTTATAGATTAAAAGTATTTCTACTCTTCGCCATTATAATCCATCACTTCCGTGTTGCAGTCTCCTTTTCCTTGCTGATAGTTTCTGCTTATTTTGCCTGGAAAAACAATCCCTAGCCCTATCTGAATGCTGTTCTTTGCCTGGGACTTGGCAAAGTGGAGGTAGGTCTCATAGCTAAGTTCACCTTGAGGCGTGGTGTGCTCTAAACACTAAGGGTAGCTTTGGTTTAGTGGATGTTATTGAGTGCAAGCTTTGCTAGGCAAGCCTACGTATCTTTTGGGTAAGAATTTGTGAAGTTAGGGCACGGTGTCATGATGGGTCACAGCAGAATTGCAGAGTAACTTCATGTCAGATGGGCTGCAGTAGCTGCCTCTGAACATGCTTTTAGATGCAGAAAACCTCATCCTGCAGTGAAAATGTTTGAAGTTGTGTTACTTTGTATATTCAAGATAAATTACGTACAAATGGTTGGTAACCATGTGTCCCAAAATACAAGAATCTGTGTTTTCAGAAGTAGTTTTGTATAACCAAGCTGAAACACATAAAGGAGGTTGATTTTTTTTTTCTTTTTTCTAAAAAGTGCTGAACCACTCAAAAGTGGCCTTAGTTTGACTTGAGGAAAAATGGGTTCAGCACCTCATTGGGTAAGTTCTATATCACTGGCCTTTTGACAGAATGTTAAATAGAATTGGAAAGAATGAGGGATTGCTTTTGGAGGATTTTTTGTAGCTTCCTCACAAACAGCACTGAGATACATGGTTCTATGGGAGGCACTGTGCTTTTCAGTCTCAGAAATGCCTTTTCAACTGTTTCAACTAACAAGGTAGCAAATTGGTTCTTTTACAACCTATGGGAAACAGCAAGCACAGTCTCCATACATGCTGGTTGCACAGAAAAAAAGAAGATAAAATAGCTGGTTTAAAATATAATTTCGAACTCCCTCTTCTACGTAATATCTTTGCAGAGGAGAGGTTATGAAGGCAATGCAATTTTTGGAGTTCAAAATGAAATCGTGGTATGTTGGGCTCCCTGTTCTACATAATATCTTTGCATAGGAGAGGTTATGAAGGCAATGCAGTTACTGGAGTTCAAAATGAAATCGTGGTATGTAAGGCTGCATTTGATTTGTAAACTGCTTTAGTAGGTGCTAAAGTAACCTGAGTAGTCTTCCATTTGCAGCAAATTGGGGATTATTTGCACCTATTTTTTCTTTCTTTTTTTTTTTTTTTTGAAAGGGAGAGGATGCTAAGTATGTGACTTTCTGCATAGCTCTAATGTGATATTCCAAGCAAAGCATATCCTGTCCTTCTCAGGGTGCACATGGAATAATAGAACATACAATACTGCCTTTTCAGGATGCTAAATATCATGTCCTCTGGAAACAGTTGGGTAAGGCTGCATTTGATTTCTAAACTTCTTTAGTAAGTGCTAAAGTAATCTGAGTAGTCTTCCATTTGCAGCAAATTGGGGATTATTTACACCTATTTTTTCTTTTCTTTTTTTTTTGCAGCTCAGGGCTGTATGGGTGAAGGCAACACAAATGGCAGTACCTATGAAATGTTTGGGGCTTGTGAATTTGCTTAAAAATGGCTTGGAGCAATGGAAATATTGTTAATCCAAAGAAATGCTAACAGATTGCTTATCAAATGAACACGTGGGTTAATGAGTCCCTATGAGTGGTCTTTGTAGGCTAGCTCAACTCAGCTTAACTTTGTACATAGGTATTTGTGGTCTTTTGTTATAAGGACTCTGCATGTGCCTTAGAAATGAACACGCTCAAGTAGTATCTGCGCTACTATGCACACTTCTGGCTGTAATACTGTCTTCTTTTTGACTGGTTCATTTTTAATCAGCAAAGGGGGAAAATGTTCGTTTGAGCAGATGTGAGAGGTTGCTCTCACCTGAACATCTGGCTCTAGCACAGACAGCATGCAGAACAAACTTCGTTGTCCCCAGAGTTTGCTGTTCTTCCAGACATTCCCAGATGCATCTTTTTCTCCTTCAGGCATATCTCATTATCCTTCAAAGGTCATTGTCCCACCCTTTCAACACTGAGTACTTAAACAGCTTTTTGGAGGTCAGGTTTATTCCCCCCTCACCATCCCTCCCACAAAACCATTTTGAAAGTTAGTCTGACAGACCTCTGAAGACAGTAATCAAAATGTCAAAATAAGGAAGCATTTTGTTTGTTTGTTTTGTTATTCTGAAGCTGGAGCTGTCTCTCGTATTCTGCATAAAGTACAGGCTTTTCAGATGTTACTTGTGATATTTTAATTGCAGCATGTTCGGAAAGGAAAAGCACTTGTAGAGTTGTACAAGTTATGTGCAGTCTTTTTATTTCTAGTAAAGTTGTCCTGAAAGATAGCCCTGAGCGCTTCAAAAGAGATGCAGGTGGGATTGTTCCATTATGGAGGAGAACATAAAACTAACACTTCTGTTTCCTGTAGGCCTGATGATATCCTTCTCTCCATAGGTAAAGTCCTTTAGTTAGGTTCCCGCTGTATGCTCCCCTTCTGTTGTTGTTGTTGATCTTGGTGTGTTTTTCCACATTTCAGGTCAGCCAGAACAACATTACCATGATGTCATCCCCATCCCCTGTCCAGCAAGCTCAAACACCCCAGTCGATGCCTCCTCCACCGCAGCCGCAGCCATCGCCCCAGCCAGGCCAGCCAACCTCCCAGCCAAACTCAAATGTCAGGTGAGCCAGACTCTGACTTTGGAGGAGCTTTGTCAATACTATTAGAGCGAGAAACATTCAGCATAACTTAATCTATTTTCATGGAAGTGCGTGGGTTTTACTGCAGACTCTATTCAGAAAGCAATTGGGGTTGTGCTGAATACTCTTTGACAATTCCCATTTAAATAACGATACTGTGAGAGAAATTCTCACAAAGTTATTTTGGCAGAGTTAGTGTCACAGTAATGCTTAATAAAGCATATCTGCTCACAGGCTGATCATGCTTCCTTGTTGGACTCTGGCAAGTCTGATTTTATTTTTATTTTTTCAGCTCTGGCCCTGCTCCATCACCTAGCAGTTTTCTCCCCAGTCCATCTCCACAACCATCCCAGAGTCCAGCAGCTGCACGAACACCTCAGAACTTTAGCGTCCCATCCCCAGGTCCATTAAACACTCCAGGTAAATCATCTGCGAACTATACTGCAGACCATGAATCGGTGCATGTTTTACTACCTGTAATAGTTCCCAGGAAAGCTGTCATTGCTTGGTGTTCAAACAGTAGATCTGCTGCATTGGCCATGTGCACAACGGCATGAATCTAAATGAACTTAAAGCCAATTTCTCATTGCTGAATTATGTTTTTTTTTGTTGTTTTTGTTTTTACTTCTTCATTGCTTTGAAAAAAAGGATGGTGGTTATTTTAATCGAGCAAGGTAAGAGAGACTTAGTGATTCTTTAATTCCATGCAGAAAGGAACCCTGAGCAACAGCCTGCAATTGTAGAGGATCTAATGACTTAATGACAGACAGACTGCGTGCCACCACAGGCAGAGTTTAGCCCTACTTCCAGAGCACCTTCCTGGATGCACATGAGCTGCAAGGAGCGGGTTCGAATACTGTGAACAGAAGTCTCACCATACTGGCTCCTTCTGCTACCTCAGCGGTGTATGTTCTGTAGTTTGGAAAGCAGTGGCTAAAGGAAAACTGCACCAATTCAGTGTGTTGATATAGTGTATAATGCGTCAGAATGAAAGCAAAATGAGGGTCTAAGATATATAAACCTTTGGACCTTTTCAGGCAAAACTGGTATTAAATGGGAATTGGGATTATGCCCACAAAACACATTACTTCTACGCAACTGTCGGAAGGTTGAACAAGTACCTGTAAAGGGCATCTGCTGGTGGATCTGGGTATTTGACCTGAGTTGCACTTTGAGAATCAACATGTTTCAGACCTAGATTCTGAAATATGACAATAATATTCTGCCATATATCTGTCATCCATGTTTTGTGCAATCTTGACTTCTTGCCAGGAAATCCAAATTCTGTCATGAGTCCAGCCAGCTCTAGTCAGTCAGAGGAGCAACAGTATCTGGAGAAACTCAAGCAGCTATCAAAATACATTGAGCCACTCCGGAGGATGATCAATAAGATAGACAAAAATGAAGGTGAGGTCCCCTCTACCTAGTCATGTGTGTCTCTTTTGAGCTTGATGGAAGAAGCTGTGAACTGTCTTTTTCTGATGGTTTCTCTTCCAGGAATTAAAAATTAAAGTATATTTAATTGCTGTTATTTTTCCTTCCCTGAGGACTGTAAAGATTTTCTTACTATGAAAAGTCGATAAAATCTTCATTCCTTAAATTTCTGTCAGTTTCCCTTTTAATCTTTTTGAGATACCTTTTCATAGGCCTTACAACCCTGGATGTACTTACAGTAAAATGAAAAGAAACTTTGATCCTCACTATTTCCTTCGTGTTGGCTCATATTTTTGCCTTACCAGTATCCAGTATTTCTGTGAGAATGTCTGCAAGGCTGGAAGCTGTTCTTGTAGACAGTGTATCTTATTTGTCTCTATGATACTATTGCAGATAGGAAGAAGGACCTGAGTAAAATGAAGAGTCTTTTAGATATCCTGACTGATCCTTCAAAACGGTAAATCTTTTTCCTTTTGGCTGGACATGAGTCTCTCCAGCTCTTCTAGAAATTACCCTCGGAAATGTAGCACTGAAGCTTAGCCTTGCTGCAGGGCCTAAGGCACGCCGTGGTGAGCAGGGATGTAGTGTGCAATCTTGCAGCACCCTGAGGGATCCAGGCAATGCATTTCATACATGATGGGAACCTGGCTCTTAAAATCTTACTGTCCGTTGGTGTCTGTTTCCTCTGGAACTTCACATTATTTTATAACGTGATTTCTTTTTGTATTCAAAAGTTATAGCCAGGAAAAGTTGTTAAAAGGACCTTTTTTGTTGTTATCTGAAGTCCTACAAAAATACTTTCTTGTGCAAGTCCTTAGAGTCTCAGCATTAGAACTTCTGTACCTGTCATAGCTTTGTACGCTCTTTGCATGTTAATCTAATTTGTATGTCAAGCATCTGGGGATGGTTGTGTTTCCCACCTTACTGATAAATTGGAAAAGGTTTTTAGGAGTTGAAGGGAAACTAGTCCATATTTTGCTGCCTGTTCCAAATTCTCTAACATGTGGACAACACAGTTCTTAATACTGGCATTCAAATTCTCCTTTAAAATAACAACTGGTAAAGTTTTTCAGGGACTAAATATTTCAGAAGCATTTTGAAATTTGACCTTTAGTATGCTGCAATGTAATCTATTCTAAGATGCTAGATTTCTGAAGCAATGTTTAGCATCCCAGCTATGCTGGAATTGAAGCTGCGTGGCTCAGCAGAAATTCTGGAGTTGAAGGGACCTTTTTGTGGTGATGAAATTTTACCTCTTCTTCAGGTGCCCGCTGAAGACACTACAGAAATGTGAAATTGCTTTAGAGAAGCTCAAGAATGATATGGCTGTGGTAAGTAATGGTTTGCATTAGTAGTAAATAAGTACCTGATTCCAATAAATCCTGTGACTTGGCAAAATAATTGTTTACATTCCTTGTTGCTCATGCTATTTTGGCTTGAAGTAAGAGAGACAGAGTAAGAGAACAGTAAAAATGCACAGGCATTTACTTCGTTATGAATACTTCTCCTTGTCTATATCTTTTAACTGAATTTTCAAATTCTTGTCCTTTGTACAAGCACTCTTGAGTAATCGTACGAATTTTTGCATCTGATTTGGGGATAGCTTCCTAAAACTTTTTTTCTTATGTTATTGTATGCGCAGCTTTGACATTCCTTTACATATTATACATGGGAAGTTTACTCTTAAAAAAAAAAAAAGTGCAGAATCAGTAGTAGAGTTCTTTGTGCTGATTAAAACAAGAGGGACTTCTCTTGTGTTTTAGCCTACTCCACCGCCTCCCCCCGTGCCCCCCACCAAACAGCAGTACTTGTGTCAGCCGCTGTTGGACGCCGTCTTGGCCAACATCCGTTCACCCGTCTTCAACCATTCCCTTTACCGCACCTTCATGCCAGCTATGACTGCGATCCACGGCCCGCCCATCACGTATGTTTGTGCCCTGTGTTAAGGATTCATTATTTAAGGAAAAATTGCTCATTTATTCCAACTGTTGAAAGAAGGGATGGACTTATTGAGGTGGGAGTTGACCTTTCTGTTTCGCATACCAAATGTTTGAAAATTGTTGCCTTGGCTTAAATTTTTGCTTAGTCCATTTGTGGACTGTATTTTGCTTAGGGCCCCTGTTGTTTCACCTCGAAAGCGGAAATATGAAGAGGATGAAAGACAGACCATACCAAATGTCTTACAAGGGGAAGTTGCAAGATTAAATCCCAAGTTCCTGGTGAACCTGGACCCCTCCCATTGCAGTAACAATGGCACAGTTCATCTCATATGCAAGCTAGGTAAGCAAGAGAAACTAATATTGAATTTGATTCTAAGAGATGTTTGTGAGTAGTCTTGAGGCTTGCCAGTAACAACGAGGACAAAGTTAGAGAAATGGCTCATTAATTTTAGGAGAGGTTATTTCAGTTTGTAATAATGATCATTGATGACAGTGAATGTTGGAAAAAGGGATTTAATTTTCTTCTTTCTTGTCTCAGCTGAGTAAGCAGAAAGTGTTACAGACTGAGCATGTTTTGCACTTTGATTCAAACGGGGCGGGGGGGAGAAATACATGTATATATGTGCATGTGAGAAATGCGAACTGTTCTCATCCTGAATATTAATACAAAAGGAACTTAATTTTCACAAATGAGATATTTACCTTACTGAAGTTCAGTTGATGAAATGAGGAGATTAAGAGGGTGCAGAAATGTGAGAGATGGAGCTGTGTTTGCCAGGATAAACTTTTTCCAATGAAGTAAGGAGTGTTTTTAAAGGGAGCAATGAGATTGAATTCCAGTAAGAATGGAGGCTTACAGACTTATTAAAAAAAAAAAAAAAAACCCTCTGTACTTGAAGATTTGTTTCATCTGATGAGAAGTGTTTCTGTATTCTAGATGACAAGAATCTTCCAAATGTCCCACCGCTACAGCTCAGCGTTCCAGCAGACTACCCAGATCAGAGCCCTCTGTGGATAAAAAACCCCCGACAATATGGTATGAGGATGCTAGTGTGATAGTTTTGGGGTATGTGTTATGTGCTGGTGGGCAATGTGATGGAAAGATGTTACTCATCTTTTTTAAAAAACGAATATATATGTATATATATAAAACAACTGTTTATCTGTTATTTTCCAGCAGCCAATCCCTTTTTGCAGTCAGTGTATCGGTACATGACTTCAAAACTATTGCAACTTCCAGACAAGCATTCAGTCACTGCACTCTTAAACACCTGGGCACAGAGTATTCGTCAAGCCTGCCTCTCTGCTGCATAACATCTCGCTTCCTAAACCATGAAGAAAGAAATATGGTCTCGACAGCTGGCCTCTCTTCCACACGTGACTGGCAAATCACAGGCATTTTGAGGAGGGTACTTCAGAAGAAAGAAGCCTTATATTATTTTGTTTCTAGATGTCAGGTTCAGAACAGAACCTGGTGTTAGATTTAGCTTTCATGTTTTTTATCTTCCGCCTCTGTGGACTTTTGCCAGCATTTTCAAATATACAAATATGTATATATGGTTCTTGAGACTGTATTAGGAGGAGCTTTTATTGTCTTCTTAGAGAAGAAATTATTTGTGGACTTCCGTCAGGGAGTCTGACTGGTATAAGAGGAAGCAGGGTGAGAACGTCCTAATTTGCTTCAAAATTTGCCCAGTGCCAGTACTCCTTTCACACTGTGTATTTTGTGACCTGATATTGCCCACAAATAAATTAGCTGCAGCTAGAACGTGCACACAAACTTCCCAGTGGTTGCAGGGATCTTTGCTTCTAAGCTTTGTCCAGAAATGGGGTAAAAAAGGGCCTTTAAAGGGCATTCTTCAAATATGTGAAATTAATCTGAATAATTGCATTTTGGGGGAGGTGGGAGGAACCAAATATAGGGAATAAAAACCATATTTTACGCTTTATTTTAAACACTACTTTATATAATGGTTTTGGCTAGCATGGACCATGTGTTTCTTACTCCAGAATTGTGAGCTGATTAGGAAGAGGGGATGCTAACATGGATACTGACTTCCCCTGGAAGCGCAGCGTATGTGGGGGTACGGGAGGGATTCTGCCCCCTCCACTCCCGGCTGTTCAAAGCCCCAGAGCCGTGAATCAATCCTTGCAGCCTTGTAGCTCCATACCTTTGTACCTGTGTTTATGAGGCCTATAGTCAGCTCAGGAGTAAAACTGACAACTGTTACTTTGTTCCTGGAGCACCCAGGCGTACCCAAGTTGGTCATCAGCTGCCTTACTGTTGGGCACTTCCAATGAAAATATTTGCCACGAGTAACTCTCATTTCATGCACAGTGTGATTATTTTCCCCATGCTTGTAGGTTGTTTTCTGCTGCAGGTGAATTTCAGTTTCAGGTATTCTCATGGTATCCTGCTCCATCTCCCTGTATTGTGCAGCAAAACTTAAAGAGTAGCTGGACTCTCTTACAGTAGTGTCAAGAAATTGCTATAGCCTTTGTAAATCTGTGTGGTGTCATCAGTTTTAGGACGTTTTTAAACGTGGGTACTTAGTAAGCACTGACTGAGGCAGCAAAATGCTATCAGTATTTTGTATATGAACTAATGCATTACCTGTTTTTATTGTAATAAATTTATTATTATTCCTGTGCTGGATGCTAATGGTATACTGGTTTTCCCACGTTGATTCTTAGATACCAGTTCTGTTGTTCCATTGGATGATGGTTACTTTGTTCTATGGTAAGTAGAAATTCATATGATTTGAAGCTTAGGGGAAGAAATCATAAATGACTTTGTTGCACAAAACACTCTTTATTATCCTTGTAATCAACTGGAAGACCCAGACAAGCACTAGCAGTAATACCTACAAATGAAAGATGGAATTTTAAACCGGTACTATTACATGATTGTCTCTGTATGGAGAATGAACCAGTGGCATCAATATAGTTCTAGTGGAGAAATGTCGCATGAGTTTTGTGTCTGGTTACTGTAGTGCAAAATCAGGTCATAAGCCTCGATACAAAGATGGAGATTATTAAGGGTTGTAGACCAGTGGGAGGTCAGGCCCCAACCCACAGGGAGGTGGTTCTTCCCGTTCTGGAGTGTGCAGGGTGGGTAGGCCCTCACTTTTAGAGTGGGCCAAAAAATTGGAGGTGTTAATTTTGGAGAATTTCTGGATGAAAGTCATCTCTTTTCCTGTTAAGATAAGGCATAAAATGGGTGCGTGCTTTGGAAAGGGTTCTTGTTAGTGTATTTGGTGGTGTGGGAGGGCTTAATGTCCATGCTTAGTCCAGGTGTCCAGGCAAGCTCAGCTCAACACTGAATGCCCAGCATGTATTGCAGCGTTGCCGGCAGGCTGGAGTTAACGCTCTGCTTCCCGCTGGGAGAGGCTGGTTTCAAAGCAGGGTGTCTGAGCAGGGTGAGCAGAGCAGGGGATCTGAGCGGTGCCCGCTTGTGGTTCTGGAGCTGCCCCTGCTGCTTCTTGGTGGGGATGGGCTCTTGCTTTTTCTCCTTGAGTAGAGGGTTATAAACTCCATGTTTTCAGTGGAACAGGTGGGTTGGTGCCAGAGAAGTGAGGATGTCTCTGCAGATGGGTGTATTTTAAGCATCACGACCTCTGGCTTTTTAGAATTTGTCTATGTGCTTTCATTTAGTGCTCCTCCTTTTTGCAAGAGCCTCTGATTTGACCATCAAGTTCGCTGACAATAAGGTCTCCACGTTTGTATACTCCTCCGCGTGTTCACGTGGAGCATTTAAGGGGACCAAAGGCTGAACGAAATGATTCCCTTTTCTTATTTATCATTGCTTGCGTTGAAAAATTTGGTCTACAACTTTTGTATGTTTTGGTATTATCTTCTGATTATAGATAAAAAGGAAGCCAAGTGGTGCTGCTGACGGTGTATTTTGAAATCCCAGCAAGAGCCTCCAGGGAGCAGAGCAGCAGGTGCAGGAGACGGTGTCCAGGCTGCGGCGAGCAGGACTGCGGCTTGCACAGGCTGGGAGTGCAGAGGAGGTGCCGGCGCTCAGAGCTGCTGAGGAGGCTCCAAGAGCCCGTTGGGGGCTCTGTGCTGCAGCAAGACCTTTTGTCTGGAGCTGCCGCATGCCGGCTGGCTAGAGCTGCAGAGAGTGTCCTCGCTCTGAGCTGAGAAACTTGCTTCTAGGGTTTCTGTCCTATCAGTTTTGTTTTGCAGGGGAAGAATCACTTGATATTTGGGCCAAAAGGGCTGCTATAGTCTGGCTTTGGAAATAGAACAACCATTTCCAATAGCCAGAGCCATGTTAATATCTAGGAGATGAAGGTTGACCCCCATGGATTCTCCCCTTGGTGCTGACCAGCTGTATGAAAAAGGTCAGCAAAAGAAGCATAAAGGAAAAGTCTTTTTGCCTGTAAGTCATATGGTTGTAACACTCACCAGGTGGTGCCTTCCACTCGTTCCTCTGGTCTATTCTGAATGCCTTCCTGAAACCTTAGTTCTGCCCTGGAGCCCTGTGTTGGTTCCCTGGCCTTTTTAGCACCTCTCTCGTCTCCTCATACTGTGTGCAGTAGTACTGTGTCCAGTTCTGGGCTCCACAGTACAAGAGGGATGTGGAGCTGCTGGAGAGAGTCCAGTGCAGGGCCACAAGGATGATCAGGGGCCTGGAACATCTGCCCTATGAGGAGAGGCTGAGGGAGCTGGGCCTGTTCAGCTGGAAAAGAGAAGGCTGAGAGGGGACCTGAGCAGTGTCTGTAAGTACCTCAAGGGAGGCAGTGAGGAGCATGGTGCTGGCCTCTTTTCACTGGCGGCCACCAACAGAACTAGAGGAAATGGCCACAAACTGAAGCATCAAAAGTTCCCCAGGAACTTAAGGAAAAATTTCTTAGCAGTGAGGGTGCCAGAGCACTGGAACAGGCTGCCCAGAGAGGTTGTGGAGTCTCCTCCTCTGGAGATCTTCAAACCCGCTTGGACGCAGCCCTGTGCCACGTGCTCTAGGTGACCCTACGTGGGCAGGGGGGTTGGACTAGGTGACCTCGAGAGGTCCCTTCCGAGCTTAAGCATTCTACGAGTCTATGAATGGTCCAAATCATTTCCATGATTTAAATGATTTAAATCTAAATGATTTAAATCTAAATCAATGGGCTAAATATGCAGGTTAAGTATTAGATATCAGTCTATGAAGAATTCGTTATTTTTCAGATTTTCATCAAACTGCTGGGTACTGAGGATTTCAGTGCTCAGTTCCTATAAAAGTAGCCTGTTCGTCTATAGCAAAGATCTTTCGGGTTAGGGGATAGGGTTAGGTTTAGGGTTATTTAGGGTTAGGGGTTAGCATTAGGGTTTAGGGTTAGGATTTAGGGTTAGTTTTAGGGGTTAGGGTTAAGAGTTAGGGTTAGGGTTAGGCCAGGCTGCCACACTTAGACACTTAAAGAGTATTCATTTCTTCACAGCTTGTCTAAAACACATGTGCAGACAGATGCAAACCATACTGTAAACATCTTTCAGGCTTTTACGAGGTATTCTGTAATGGCATTTTGAGAGTTGTCTTTGCACTACATTTCAATTTTCTTCAAACAGAATGCAATGAGATGCCGCATGATGCGGATGTGTGGAAAGGAGACATCATAGCGCACACATCAGTATCTCATTTGGGACACAAATCATGAGAACTGTTAAGTGTGACAGGTAACCCTTAGAATGTAAAATGAGTGACTGATTGACAACATAATTGTTTCTTTTCTGATGTTTACAGATTGTGCAAAAGATTAAAAAACAAACATAACAAGCCTATTCCTAAATCCTTGGAAAGATGCCCCAAAATGGGTATAATAGGTATTAATGTTTGGGTGCCTTATCATCTGTCAGGGCATTAAGGGTGAATTCAGAAAATGCACCTAATATGAAATATCTACATATTAATATCTTTCAGAAAAAGACAGAAGTATGTGCTTTCACAAATAAATTCTGAAACCAAAAATACATAAGTTTGATCCTTTACTTTCTTGAATAAATGTCAGGCAAAATGAATTCATAATCAACTTTTACTTGAAATGATGTGGTAACAGCTGAATATCATGCAAGCGTGGTTTGAACTCTCAAAGCAGTCATAAGGAATCAAGATGAAGAAGGGTGAATTAAAATGCAGTTCGATGAAGACGGCTTCTTTGAATAGCCTGGGTTCTCTTCTGTCTCTCAACAAAACCGTTCCCCAGTGTTTGTTTCAGTGGTGGCAAAATTGCTTTTTTTGTAATAGGCACTGGAGCGGCAATCAAACTGCAGAGAGGAATGCAGCAAGTCAATGCACTGTGATTACCCAAATCTATTCTCTTTTTACTTAGGAAAGGCACAGGGATAAGCCACTCTCCTACTGCTGAGCTTGGTGATTTTGTGTGCAAAACTGTCCTAAAGAGCAGGGTGTTTTAGGTAGCTGATTAGATTTAACTTCAGAGATAACTTCTCACAAAGCCTTGGTGTTTTGAATGAAGTTTTGTCTTGTTCCTCTGCTTTTCCAAACTTGGTGCCTGAGGCACCTTGTCTCTGTTTAAAATCTAGAATAACAGAAGAGACCTAAGTAGAGGATCTGATCTTCGGTGGAGTTCTGTGTTTTTTGTTTTTGTTTTGTTTTGTTTTCCATTAAATGCAATAGCTGTCCTCTTCTCCAAAAGTGGTAATACTTACTTTCTGAAATACGTTCATGGAAACTGCTAGTTAACAGTATTGACTACTCTCCTCTTTGGCGTAGTTATCATGAAATATATGGTGATGCTTAAATTTGGGAAAGTACATCTCTCTCCACATCCAGAACTATTGACTCCCATGAGAATACAATGTTTAAAC